ACCCTGAGATCTGCCAGACGGATCACCGAGCCCAAGGCATACGAAGCCCTGACAGATACAGCAGATTTTTCCAAACCACTCAGCTCTCACCTCGATAACCTCCCAACACTCCGAGGGCTGGCTGCGCCCCGCTCCCTTTCCACAGCTCCCCTTCGAGCTGTCCAAGCGGGCAGCGAAACAAGCCTTCCCCAAATCCACGATGACATTATAAACCATCTCATCACACACCCAAAACCGATCCATCCCATACCATGGCTTACCCGGAACGGCTGTGCCGGTGGGGCTCCGCAGAGCCCGGCACGTCCCGTCGGCACCGGAGACTGAGCACGGAGGAAGCGGGGACAGGAAGATGAACCTGAATCACCGGGCGATCACAGGACAGGCCCCTGGCAAGCTCGTGCCTCTGAGAGCAGCACAGGTAAAGCTGTCCCGGCAGCACCGGCTCAGGGAATAGGAATGTGATGACTGGAGGCCTTGCTCGCCACCCCGGGAGTTTCGGGTGCTCGGGGCAGACCGAGAGGCAGGGGATAAATGCCCCTTTCCCCCAGGAAAACCTGTTCCTTAACCACTGAAGGGGACCACAAATGCCAACGCCAGGTAAGAAGAGGGTAGTTTCACACCTGAAGCTTCCGACTTCTGATCCCTGACCCCCAGGGCAAGCGACCAGAGAGGTCACAGACACATCCACCACGACAGTGAAAGTTTCTTTACGACCCAGGCACTGAAACCCAGGTGCCCACAACCTTTGAAACGGTTTGTATCAGGTATTAAAAATCCACATCCCTTCTGAGACTCTCCTTCCACAAGGTAAACTACAATTTACCAGCCACAGTACACAGGAGGCCGGAATAAACCCAGGCCCGTCCTCACGTGTCAGACATTCCCACTCCCTCTCCGAGGTCTGAGAACAGGAAAAACGGACCAGCAGCATCGCTGAGGTGCCAGCAGCTCCCCTGCCCTCCAGCAAACCTCTGCCATTCAGGAAAATAAGGAAACAAACTGCCTTTTAATTATAAGCAGCTCTTCTACCGAGTGAGAAACTCCTCAGCTACAGACACCTTCACTGGGAAGACATTTCCCTCTCTGTCTTCTGGCGTTTTCCAAGTCGTTTGAGATCTCAAGTTCTCTGGTGGCACGTCCTCTCCTCGGTGGAGCAGGGAATGGCGAAAGCTGGAAGCTGCCATGACTCATCTTCTCCTCGGTGGAGCCAGGAATGGCGAAAGCTGGAAGCTGCCATGACTCAGTGGCTCCTCACCCTCCTCCCCGAGGAAGCCACCTCACTCCTGCCTCTTGAAAACACACCTTCCCCTGACACGTGCGCTGCTACTTTGCTCTGGCCAGAACTCGAGGCACAGAAGAGCCAAGGTCTGGTGGTTTCTTCTTCGATCCCACCACGCCGAGACGCTCCGCAGACGGGAAGGGAGCCGGCAAAGCCATCCAGCCCGTACCTTTCCCACTGAAGTAAGATCAGAGAAGGCTCATAATGTGCTCGTCTGGGACCTGCCGGCGCTGCCAGGACGTGTTGCAACAGGAGAGCTTTTCCCCCGTCCTCCTTCCCTCCCCGCAGCGGGATCACGGGGCTGAGACGGTGCAAACTGCTGTCAGGGCAAGTGTGACATTTGGGGGGGGGACAGTGTGACAGCATCACGGCACGACCGGCGGGATGGGACAAGGCAGGAGAGCCCCTGCCTTGTTTGAACACCAGCAGCTGGAGGTAATTAGCAGAAATACAGCTGAGAAACGTGCCAGGTAATGAGACTCCTGACTCGGTCTCATGTGTCACAGGCCTGAGCCAGCACAGGAGCGGTGCCAGCGCTGCGGGCCGTCACCTCCGCTCCCGGGAACAGAAACACCCACGTCACCTCCCTGGGATGCTCCTGCTCCAGCTGGTTACTCACGGGGTGACATTTCCCACCCAGCTCTGCACCTCGATGGCATTTGGGGTCACAGGAGCCCCTTTGGATACTCCCATAACAGGGACACATCCTCATCACACGCAGATGGATGGATGGGTTTGTTGACAGTCAGTGCCACGTCTGGAAGGGAATCCCGCTGCACGGGTCCCCCATTCACCCTCCTGCCCCCCACATAAGCCCTGCATCAGGCAGAGGGACAACCCCACAGCAACATCACCTCCTGGAAGCACAGCCGGGGAGGAGAGGGGTATTTTTTTTTTTACAAAGAAACCCATGAGTCATTATCTCCCCATATCTAACGTGCCCTTAAAACTAGCGCCGCGCCGAAACCTGCATTCAGATAAAGGCTCTGACCTAGAAGAGCGAGAGAGGAGGGGAGAGAAGAGTTTAAGCTAAAGCAGCTTGAGGATAAACTGGAGCTGAATTCCCGGAGAAACAGGTCATTTCGTTTCAGCACACGGCCCCGTTCAGGTTGTGGATTAACAGCAAAGGTCACATTGAAAAACCAGAATCGAGAGGCACCGAACTCGGGACACGGTGACTGCTGCTGCTGACTGCATCCCACGGGAAGAGCCGAGACCTCTGGGTGGGAACGCTGCAGAGATCTGTGTCTGTCTTTAAAATAAAGCCTAGATCTTGAATGTTCGTGAAAACAGATGCAGCTGATAAAGATTAGGGAGACACAAGCTAAATCCTCCAAGAAAAAAAAAAATAAAGGGGGGGGTGGGGGTTCTCCCAGCACTTCTTACCATCCCTTAATGTCTGGGGTATGCCTACGGAAAGTGTGCCCTTTGAAACAACGCCGACTTCTCCGCCTTTCTGCTCCTTTGTTCTTCCTTACCAGGGATCCTTTCACCAAGCCAGATCTGAGCCTTTGAGAGCCCCATATGCCGCGGCGGCAGCTCACTGCGCTGGCAGGGAAAGTGGTTTCAAAGACCTGAATCGGGGCAGCGAGAGACAGAGAGAGAGAAAGAGAGAGAGAGAGACACATAATAAAGGGGGGGGGGTTCTCTCAGCACTTCTTACCATCCCTTAATGTCTGGGGTATGCCTACGGAAAGTGTGCCCTTTGAAACAACGCCGACTTCTCCGCCTTTCTGCTCCTTTGTTCTTCCTTACCAGGGATCCTTTCACCAAGCCAGATCTGAGCCTTTGAGAGCCCCATATGCCGCGGCGGCAGCTCACTGCGCTGGCAGGGAAAGTGGTTTCAAAGACCTGAATCGGGGCAGCGAGAGACAGAGAGAGAGAAAGAGAGAGAGAGAGACACAGACACCCGCCAGATCAAAGCGCGGAGGAGAGCTCGGCTTCGGCTAAGCCAGGAGGGGCAGGTCTGCACCTTAGTTTGTCTTTTAAACTAATAAAAAAAAAAAAAACCAAACCACCAAACCAAAGAGAAAACTGAGAAAGCTGTGAGAAAACCAGGAGGAAGACAATGTGTGAAAAGCTAACGCTTGGGAGGAGAGAGAGTTGACTGAATTCAAGGTGACCCTGCAGAAAGCTGCTGCCAGGGCGGCCGCTCAGCAGCCCTGCAGGACCCCACATCACCACGGGACCCCTCGCCCCACCGTGCCCCATGGCAACACCAACTTCGGGGCAGTCATTTCACATCAGGCCTCCCCGGCCAACCCTGGTTTCAAAACACTATTAAAAACCACCAAGAACATTATGCTCAGCCGTCCCTCTGTCCCGTAAAACAGCTGGATTAGCCAGATCTGGCCTGGATGGGACAATACGCCACATTTTTTTCGGGCATTTTTCAAGTCCCCGTTTGCCATGAAGGGAAATGAAATGCCTCCCCCAGCCCTGGATTCTGCTCGTCCCTCGAGGTGAGGGGGGGGTTTAGCTTTTTTAGCGGGACAGGCAGCAGTGACCTTCAGATGCCGTAAGCGCGTTTCCTGGCTTTTCAGGGGGATTTGGGCGCCGTGGCGGATTTGTATTTCACAGCTCCCCTCGCTGCCGCAGCGAGCCTGCATTTGCAAACCCAGAGATGAAGCGCTTCATCCTCAGGGAGGCAGCGGCTTTGAACTGCAGATCAAGAGGAATTTCCAGCCCTCTGATGTCGGCTGCAGAATGCGGCTGCACCGGTTTGGGGACGACTTCCAAGGCTGGACCTCTCAAACACCCTCCCCTCCCGCCCCCGCCTCGCAGGGCGCCTTTATCTTCCACCTCTTCCCATCCCAGACCTGGATTCCTCGTTACCCCGAGCACAGCCCTTCCAAATTCAGACCCTGGTTGGTGTCCTCCAAAGCCTGACATTTCTGCCCATTCCTGAGGAGCAGAGGGCTTCGGCAGCACCGGAGATGCGACATAAATAATTTATCCTGAAAGACAGCCATTGCAGGATTTAAGGT